AAAACATACAAGAAGGACTCTACTTACGAGCAAATACCTTGGAATTTAAAGTAAAAAAGACTCTACTGACAAGCAAATTAATAAACGACCATAAGATTGAAAAGGGACTCTACTGACGAGCAAAAATCTGAAAACAATTTACGAAATAGACAAAAAAGGACTCTACTGACAAGCAAATAAGTTCAAATGTTAAGAAAAAGGACTATACTGACAAGCAAAGTAATAAACAACCAAGAAGTTGAAAAGAGACTCTACTGACGAGCAAAAATCTGGAAACAATTTACGAAATAGACAAAAAAGGATCGAATACCTTAGAATTTAAAGAAAAAGACTCTACTGAAAAGCAAATTATGAAAAGGCATAAGGTTGAGAAGGGACTCTACTGACGTGCAAATAACTAAAAAAAAATAAAACACAAAAGAGGACTCTACTGACAAAAAGCAATTTAGAATGTTGAGGAAAAAGAACTCTACTGACAATCAAATTATAAAAATATTAGAGAATAAGGTTGAAAAGGAACTTTACTAACGAGCAAATGACTAAAAAAAATAAAATACAAAAGATGACTCTACTGACAAAAAATAATTTAAATTATTGAGACAAAGAACTCTACTATCAAGCAAAACGAAAAACGATGATTGAAATAAATAAGAACTCTACTGACGAGCAAATAGGTAAAAAATACAAAACAAATGAAAAAGGACTCTACTGACAAGCAACTTAGAATTTTAAGTAAAAAAGACTCTGTCTGAAGAGAAAATAACTAACACATTTAAAAAAGATAATACTACTATCAAGCAAAGTAAAGAAAGATCTTAGAGATGAGAAAGGAGTCTACTGAAGAACAAATCATTAGAAATTTTAGAAAAAATATCAGAAAAAAGGACTGTATTATCATGCAAATTTAGTAAAAACAGAAAAACTACTACCGCGAAAATAACTTGAAAATTAATAAACCAGTGAAAAAAACTATATAGTTGTCAGTAGAAAATCTTCTTCCATAAATATCACGAATTAATTATTAAAAATTTTGCAGCCCATTCGTCGAAATAAAAAATAAGTTAAGAATAAATATTTTTCATTATTAACATATGATAATCAAATGACAGAGATATATGTTTAAAGAATTGAGAACAATTGTCATTATCAATTCCTTATACACATATCTCTGTATTATAGATTACATATTCTGAATGATGACACACATCAAGTGTCGAGACTTAAAACAATAAAGAAAATAATTTTTTTAATCTATTTTTTACTTCGAGATTTAATTTTAGCTTCCAAATTCCATTTCAAGATTCCTTTTACAAATTCGTCCCATGTTTGTTATTATTATTTGTTCCCACCGCTGCCACCATGTCGATTTCTATATTCCTATGCTGCTCACTTTGATATCGCCGTTGTATTTATTTGGCAAACACAAAACAATTCCAAGTTCAAATAACGAAATACAAATATTGAAATATTATATTTCATAGATTGCTCTGAATATGAATAATAGGATTTATGGAAATTATTGTTGGGGAGATGATATATGATAAGGAATTTAATAAATTAGATGGCGGTCTCTGTTTTTGTACATTAATTTGATAAAATGTATTACGATTCTATTGGCGTTGGTTGTAATAATTAATTTGCATATTTGATTATGTCGGACAAAAGATATCGTACAAATAACTGGAAGGTACGATATAAATATAAATATATATATATATATATATATATATATATATATATACATATATATCGATTACCGTCATGTGTCTTTTACTAACAAATCACTTCATCACTTCATCAGATGAAAACAAGATTAATTCCCAAATATTATTGCCATATCATCATCATCGTCATATGTATCGTGTGTATGTATGTATGTATGTATATATATTGATAAATATATACGTTTTGTTACTCCTTGGAGATTTTCTCCTGGCCATTAGTATTTCAATGGGAAATTCATCATAATAAATAGGCCGTGACCCGACGTTTTATATGACAGTATACGGAGTCTATTGTAAAGGATACTAAAGTATATATATATATATATATATATATATATATATATATATATATATATATATAGTGATTTACCATGATGAAAATAAGAAAGATTCAATAACACGCCAAAGGTTTTCCTGTAATTTATTTGCACTAAATATTCTAGCATTCTTTCCACAGGGGGTACGACTTAAGCAACCTTTATATTAACTTCTGGAAGGAGAAGTTTGTTTGTTTGACGATTTGCTATTTTTATGTTTTTTCGACGTTTCGAGTTATTCTGAATCCAATGAGATCAAATTTAAGGAAAAAGTATGTATGTGTGTGTGTGAACTGATGTTATACCATTAATTGACGTTTTCTCAAAAACAGCTGGACCGATTTCAAAAATTTAAAAACCATTTGATGTATCTCGATGCGAACTATCGTTTCTCACGATTGACCGAGCCGTTTCTTTGCAATTTCCATAGAATTCTAAAACTTCTTGTCCATATAACAGCTCACAATTCGTGGTCGATTTTAAAAAATTTAAAACTGTTTGAAAATAATGTAAATAATGAATTTTTTGACGATTTTTATGAAAATTTTTTTTTGACGATAGATATCATAGTCCTACAGAACAAACTGAAATGTTACCGACCTACGACAAGTAGTTTAATTTTAAAAATTCATCAAAGTTTAGAAATATATTATAGCCAAAATTTGTGTCAAAATTCGCTTATGTGATATGATAAGTCAATAAAGTCACTTAGAAATGGCTTTAGAATTAGCAAAAAAATTAATAAATAAATCTACAAAACTTCTCTAGTTTCGTAAAAAATATTATCATTCATTAGAATTATCAAATTAGATCTCGAACTATGTATATGATATATGCAATTCTGAGAGTATTTTCTTATACCAGATGCTTTCACAAAATAATTTATTATAAAAGTTTTTTTAAAAAAAGCTTTCGACGTTTTTCAAGAAATATAAAATTGCGATAAAGTTCATACACTGAACTGTCATACGAAAATTGGTTTAATTATATAAATTAATTAAAATTTAAAATAATAGACTAAAAATATTATCAAGAACATGTACGTGCACTATAATAAATATAATTACAAATATTATTATTAATGTGTTTGAAAAAATTCTATTGGAAATCTCAATGTTTAGATTTAATTAAAAGCAAAAACTTAATTTTCAAGATAAACAGCTGAAAATTTTATCTAAATACCTAAATTCCAATTTTTATTGACTAGGTTAATTAATTCATCTCTCGGCAAGTTTTTGTATCTTACCTTAAGGGGTTACATGGGTTTCCTCAGGCAAAAAACGGCATTTTTTCAATCATTTTATTTTACATATAAAAATGAAATATTTTAACGATTTTTTTCTATTTAAAAGATACATATTTAATAAACATTTTGTAAAATTTTCAAAAAAATATCAAAATAGCGGCCATTGGACGAAGGAAACAAATAACAAATGCAAATTGGATTTTTGGCAGACGTTTTTATAAAAAAATGCAAATTTCGATGAAAATTTCTCGACATTGTTTTTTTTAAATAGTTGTAATTAAAAAACAAAAAAGTCGTTCAAGACCTTGTAAATTATATCTCGAAGACGTGTGTAAAATTTCATCAAGATCGGTTCAGTAGTTCGCAAGAAATCTTGACAAACGTCTTTGAAAACATAGAGAAAAACGCGTTTGAAGTTTTAATCGACAATAAAAGTGAACCTTGAGAGAACCTTTCATATGATATTTGTGAGTTATTTGACAAAAACCAAGAAAATGTATCAAATTTTCTATTAAATGCTGAAGAAAATAAAAGATCAAATTCAAGGCCGTTTTATTCCAAACTTTTATATCTGGGTGTATATAACTGTTGGCATGGAATAGTATTAAATTTTAAGGTAAAGGTAAAATGCCACTTTCATCTTAGTTATAATTTTAATCCTCATATACTTTATAACACGATCCATAACATATGTATTAACAGAAACAGAAATGTTTGAAATGTAGGAAATGTAGTACGAAATGTAGTCATACACACTCGAATGTATGAAATGAGATGAGAGAGCGATGGAACAGCGATGAATAATACAATAATTTATGCATGACAAGCATTGAAATTTCGCAATCTCCACTTCGCTATATTTCACGTTAACAATCCTTTGAGGTAGGAAAGAGAGTGTGTGCTCTCTCGTTTGCACACACATACACACACACACCATAATTCACACCAAAAGTTATATATACACAATCCTAAAATTTCACACTCTAAACTAAACTCTAAATTTCCTTGCTCCCAAGGGCTCAAATGGTTCCAAATTGATAAGAAACAATTCTCTGAAAGTTTTAGCTCTTAATATTAACTTTTAGATAGTGCGAAATTCATTCAAACTTCGTATGGAAAAAGCATGGAAAAAATTTTGAAAATAAAAAAAAAATTTAGATATAACTTAGCGACAAATGAATTAAAAGTGAAAATTCGTGTCATTTTTTATTGAAAATTCGACGCTCTTGTTTTTCATACAAATCTATGATCGAATTGCGCTCATAATACTAACCCATAAGTAAATGCCGATATATAAATATAAAGTGTAAATATGCAACTGTTTAAACATAAAAATAAAATTGTCGATAGGCAGTTTTTTAGGCCGTGTTCCGCGTCATTTTGTACCGCAACCTGAAACAACGCGTCGCCGCAGGTCAAAAACACAACGCTGGGACTAGCCCAAATACCATTGCTGCAAACCTCAAGTTTCATATATAGTAATACATAAAAATTATAAATATTAATAATAACAATATTGAATTGCGCTCTATCTAATAGGCATTATTAAAAGCTAAAACTTTCAGAGAATTTTCTTATATCAATTTGGAACCATTTGAACCCTTGGGAGCAAAGAAATTCGAAAATGCCCATATCAAGAACCACCCTACGTCTAAACACCGATCAAATAAAAAATAATCTTACTACACATAAATAAATTTTTATTCTACTTACATCTCCGTCCACAGTTGCGGCGCTGGGTACCCTCAAAAGGGCAGGTCTTAAGCCCTTTTTTTCAAACCCTTTTGTTTGTTGGTCTCCGCAGGCGTGGTGGAGCAGCAAAAGACTTGGAGGTGTCAAAGTCACTTGGGCATCGCTCAAAGAATTATCTGGGCTAGACAAAGGTAATTCTATGCAACTGGAGGACGTCGGTCCTCCAGCACCACCGGCGGCAGTGTTATTCATCAACATTTGTTGCTGATTTGTTGGAGGCGGGTATAAGGGCTGGAGAGCCATCTGAGGAAAAAGATAATATATATATATATATATATATATATATATATATGAGCCGTTCAGTGCATACATTGACTAACTCCGAAAGTCAGAAAGTGGAGAAAAGCGATAAAGTAATGTATATTGCTTTTAAAAATTCCTGTTATAATATAAATTGAAAAATATATTTTAGAACGTATAAATACATATATAGCTTACATGTAACGGTATATAAGATTTATAACTATTAATAGTGAGAAAATAATTATCATTGAAGTTGAAGTTTTGATATGACTTGTGGAGTTAATCAAGTTTGCAACTTTTTTTAAACTTTAAACTTTTTTTTTAAAATTCGGATCTTCATTGTAGTCACACTTAAATTGTATTATATATCGTTGGGTTTGGACCTTTCTATTCTAAATTCAGCGTATTTTAAGCCAATTTTCTGGACACCCTGTGATGGTTACTTTTCTGTTATTGATTTATTGTTCTAACTAAATAAAAAATAGATGAAAAATCTTAGTGAAGCATTCGGCTTAGCTAAAATGGCGCTTTTTTCTTAAATGTTTTTACTATATTGTATCAACTATCTGGTAAAATTATGTCTCGATTTTTTTTCGCACGTGACTCAAATAATGACAAAATCTTGATTTAATAGATTAATAACTATTTTCACCGACCAGAAATTTATTTTTAATTAAGTTAGCTCTTATTTCCGTACTTTGAACAAGTTTCAATAAACTTCAGGCAGTTTTAATATTCTTGTTTTGCCGGGTACACGAATTTTAGTATGTTATTTTTTCAAAGTTTGTAACGCCCTCAACGTCTTTTATAAAACTAGATGAATTTTTTTTTCGAGATCCACAACACCCTACAGTTCTGTGTTCTTAATCGTAATTCATGAATTTGAAACCCGAAATCCAACCCAACCAGAATATATACACTACAGAATGGAGTTAATCAAAATGTCTTCTGAAATAAATGACTTATGGATTCAGTGGTCAAAAAAAATTTTCGTTTCACAGTGGCAATTTTTATTCTTTTGGAAAATTATTATAATCATAAAAAGTTATGATTATACCAAGTTTTTTTCCCACTAATATCTCAGTTTTTTCAAAAAGTGGAGTTAGTCGATGTGTGCACTGAGCGGCTCATATATATATGATGAAATCATCCCTTAAGTTTATTTGTCCCTTACCATATGATTGGGTCCGATAATCATTTGACCAGCGGCCTGTTGACCCAAAAGTGGAGACCTTTGGGAATTTAGAATATTTTGCCTTGACCTGGGACAATGGGGATGATGATAAATTTGTCCTTGGGCGGGCGAAGGACCGCCCTTTGACATCAGTGATTGCTCTTTTCTATGTTGCCTTGAAATGAAAAATAAAAACACTTTACATAACTTCAAACTTAAAATATTTTTTATTAAAAACTAGATAGAATTGTTAGTATGTAAATTAAATTAGTTGCTGAAATAGAAATATAAAATTAATTTTGGAGACATCAAAATTTTCTGAAAATTAAAAAATTTAGGACGTAAAAATTAGGATTTTTCAAAATTTAATATGAAAATTATTACCAAAAAGAAGAAAAGTGGTCAATTCTGGAGTACTTCAAGGAACAGTTCTAGGGCTACTTTTGCACTTATTTCGTATAAACTTAACATAACCTAAAATTTATTATTAAAAACTATATGACATCGAGTCTTAAGGCAAATTGCTGGAACTTCCCGTAAAAATTTTGAATAATAGAATTTAATAAATAAACAACACAAGCAGAAAGTTTTTTGAATCAGTCAAAATTCATTATAATTTTAATAGTTAATTAATTCTCTCAAAATCTGCAAATTTTTGCATATTTAGCTTCATATCTCCAAAACGGCAAAAACCTGGCTTTGCCAAAAACTAATTACAACTTCTCCCCATTATTTTAAATTGAATGTTTTTTAAATCATTCAAATCGGATGCTTAATTCTCTCAAAAACTCGGTTTCTATTTTCTGCACTCTTTGCTCCGTATCTCCGAAACGGCTGGATCTGCCTTTGTCAAAAACTAATCACCACATCTCCCTATCAATAGGAATCGAATGATTTTTGAACCATTCAAATCGGTTGATCCGTGCGCCCGAAAACGTTGACGAAAAAATATATTCACACGTACACACACGCACACACATATATACATTTTTTCTAAGGTATGCCAAAATGGGACGTTAATAAATCAAATTAATTAGTAAAATAAAAATATAAAATTAATTTTGTATAAAAACTAAGTTTTTAATAAAATAGAAAATTAATTTCAAAATTTTTCTGGAGATTAAAAAATTTAGGACGTAAATATACTCTTCTAAATTTAATATTAAAATTATTACCAAAAAGGGAGAAAAGAAGAAAAGTGGTCAATTCTGGAGTACCCCAAGGAACAGTTCTAGGGCTACTATTGGACTTATTACATATAAACAATTAGAAAAATATATTAGCAGGTACATATACAATATTCTAATAGATTTTAAAATTCATAGGGAACACTGTGATAATAAATTCAGATGACTTGGATACAAAATTTAAAAGAGGAATTCTAAAGTTATTGAGATAAAAAATATCGGGAGGATCAAAAATCGCTTGGAGCCAATTTTAGAAGAATTCTAAAGTTATTGAGATAAAAAATATCTGGAGAATAAAAAAAATGACGTGAATATACTGTTCGAAATACATTATATAAATTATTTACCAAAAAGTGAGAAAAGAAGAAAAATGACCAATTCTGGAGTACCCCAAAAAATAGTTCTAGGGCTACTTTTGCACTTATTACATATAAACAATTAGAAAAATAAATTAGCAGTAGATATAGAATATTCTAATTAATTTTAAAATTAATGAAGAACACTGTGATAATAAATTCAGAACGCTTGGAAACAAAATTTAGAAGAATTCTAAAGTTATTGAGATAAAAAATATCTGGAGAATAAAAAAAATATGACGTTAATATACTCTTCGAAATACATTATGTAAATTATTACCAAAAAAAGAAAAAAGAAAAAAGTGATCAATTTTGGAGTACCCCAAGGAACAGTTCTAGAACTATTTTTGTACTTATTACATGAAACCTATTAGGAAAATAAATTAACATGTAGATATATAAATTTCTAATAAATTTAGGGAACACCGTAATATTAAATCCAGAACGCTTGGAAACAAAATTTATAAGAACTTTAAAGTTATTAAGATAAAAAATATTTTTTAGAAATTTATGAAAAAATATGTATAGTTAATTTGAAATTAAATGAAAATTGTATTTGTTAAGTAGAAATTGAATAAAAATTAAGAAAAATAGGAATTACAGAATTCGAAAAGCTGAATGGAATTAGTAGTAAGAAGAAAAAATATCAGAATTTGCTGAGATTAAAAAGAAGTATGAAGAAAAAAAATAAATGAAATAAAGATAGAAGTTGAATAGAATTAGGAAATTGATAGAAAACAGCAAAAATTGAAAAAATTAAGAAGAAGAGAATATAGAATAAGATATAAATAGATTGAATATGATATGAAAAGTGCTCAGAGGAAGCGAGGCCAAATAAAAAGTAAAAAAAAACGCTATATTATAATGTTTTTGTTAGTGAAAATGTCTATCTATTTGGTGTGAGATCAGGATTTTTGCATATAACAAGCAGCAGAAGAATGTTATGATATAAAAATTCTATATAGTGTAGTTATCATAAAATTTCTCCTTGCCTGTTTATATGTGAAATACGCCTGATCACACAGTAAATCGACATTTTCTAACAGAAAAAAGCATAAGATAGCGTTGCCATGCAATGCAGAATATGCCCCGTAAGTCTAGAATATATAAATATCTATTATTATATTCTATTATTATTAGTGGTTAGTACAAAGTACAAAATTACCTCCTATACCTATAAAGCCTGATCCTCTTCATGAGCCTCCTTTTGTACCTTCTGTAAATGTGGGCGATGTACCTAACAATTTCTGCATAACAAGTCGCAGGTTCGCTGTTGTTCGTCGAAGAGGCCAAGGTCGATGTCGAATTAAACCTAAAAATAAAATATAGAAAAAAAAAAAAACATTTAGTGAAAATTGAGTAGAATGTATATTTCATACCTGGCCCTTTCTTGACGCATTCTGGCCATTTCCCGTTTTTTGGTTTCACTAAATTGTGTGGCAATGACGACTAAACACAAGTTGATCATGAAAAAGCTTCCGATCTGGAAAATAAAAAATAAATTAGTTAAAATAAATTTTAGGTGATATTCTGGATATATATATATATATATATATATATATTATAATATGATATATATATCGATTACCTCCGTATCACGTAGGTTCCTATATATTCAATATTTGCTATAAGATCCCATTGGGAATTTTCTGCAGCTCACGAACCGTAAACAGAATATGAAATAAGTCTATTTTTCATACAAAATACATACTTGCAATACATACTCTATAATGCACTTCGACGTGTGAATTCGAAATATGAACTTGAAATAAAAATTTAATAAATCTAATCCCTAAAATAGGTGTAATTTATATTTGATCTTTATGTGAAAATGTGATGATAAATAAGAAATAAAATATTGCACTTAAAAAATTTCACTTAAAAGTTCGATTTGCTTATTTTTGTGTTTTTAATGTTTTAAGACATTTTGAATCGGTTGACACAATAATTGGTGTAAAAAAATGTGCAAAATTTGAATTTTTGTCTACGATTTCAAAATGTAATGAATTTATTAGTTTTGTGAGACGCTTGGCGAAGTCGTGGCAGCAAAGTGTGATTTTTTTTTTTTAATCGCAAAACTAGCTGTAAGTGGAATTCTTTTTAAAGGCAATTAGGGCATCGTTAGGCCTTAAGGCAAATTGCAGGAACTTCCCGTATCACAAATTATTTTTTTTTAAAAACAAACAACATTTTTGAAAAAAATTACTTCGAAAAAATTAGATTCTTAAGAAAATATAATTTTAAAAAAAAAAAAATGTTTTCTTTATTTTTACATATTTTGGAAGATCTGAACTTTTTTCAAAGCAATCGTACTGCTTTAACTGCATAGAGACAAAATATAAAGCGCGTAAGCGCCGCGTCGCTGTCTAACGGATAAACATTGGTACGGAACCGTAGAAATGTAAGCAAAATTTATACT